AAGCTCATCAGAAAAATTACCATGAAAATATTTGCAAAAATCCAGAGAAAGTATTTTGACTCCTCGTAACTCTTTGTCGCTAATTTGTTGTGGACGACGAGGGAAAAATATTTTGTTGTTTGTTCTTCCTGTGTGAGAACAAGTGATTTTTTTTTTTTTTACTTCACGTGTGAGTTCGAATCTTCGTCGCTAATTTGTTGTGGATTCCGGGATGAAATCCGGTCTGAAAAAGAATGACAAACGCAGGAATGAAATATAGCAAATAAATGTATTGACGTAATAATACAATTGGTAATACGGTTAGTAGATCCAGAAATGCGGTTAGTAAATATAATAATATATATACAGTCTGGGAAATTCAGTATCGAAATAGGACTTCCTTCTGAGTCTACGTGCTCGTAACTGTGACTCCTACAAAGAGGGTACCTCACTCTCTCACTCTCTCACTGTATCAGTGTATCTCCCTTCGTTTCTGTTACTTACTCTTCCTTAGGTATTCACCGGCAGCAGTACAAGTACACACTGGTCGAGTCGACTTGTATGAAAAAGGGGTGGACCCCATAACAGTCACCAAAATTGTTCCATTTGTTTTGATTACTAGAATATTCCAAAGTGGCCAAACATTGAGAAAGGTAGGAATTGAATACAATCTTGCAAACCCAAATTTCATTAAACGTAAAATGGAGAATGTACGTTTCCTTCGGGCTTCAGTTATTAAAATGGTGTAATAGTGATTTCCAATGCGAAGCTTAGATGTGGCACCCAGTGAGGATCGAAATCACTTCTCAATGTTTGTAGTGAGACAAATTTGCTAACCATTAAACCACGTAGGGCTGCCCCGATTGTCACGGTGTAATGGTTAGCAAGCTTGTCTAGAACAATTACGAGTAAGTAGTGAGTTCGAGTTTAGGCTTAGAGAGGTCGTAACCAAGGTTTATACTTAAAATCAGGGAGAGGCAGCTAAAGTTTCTGGGACACATAATGAGGAAGGAGAGCTTGGAGAATCTGATGCTCACGGGTTGAATAGAAGGAAAGAGAGACAAAGGAAAACATTGCGTGACATCCCTGTGGTGAGCTTAAGAAAGTGAATGACAGAACGTGGTCTGGGGGAGGAAGCAGAGGGAAGGAACTTGATGAGAGCTGCAAAGGATAGAAGGACGTGGAGAGCCATGATCGCCTACGTCCTGGTAGGACATAGCACATAAAAATAGAAGTGAGTTCGCTCCTCACTTTAGGCCTTGGGCTACATCTTAGATACGCTTAAAGAATCACAACTGGAAATAGATATGATCATATTTTGGATAAATAATATGTACATAAATTTAAATTAAATAAGTTTTATGTCCTTTGTAGCAAAGCAGAATTACTTTATAAGCACCCTAATATTAAAAAACGAAATTGTCTTTAAGACCTTTCAAAAAAAAAAAAAAAAACAAAAACGATAAACTATTTATCTGACAAACACACAAATAATATTAGCTTTGTATGGCATAAAAAATTATAACAGGGGATGAGAAAATAAAATAAAAATAAGGAAAACGGAAAAGGGTCTATTGGTATCGAAATCTGTATTGGATCGGACGAATGTTAATTTACAAAATACACGCAACAGAAGAGAAGATGGATTGTGGCAAGCGCTCGTAAAATAAGCAATAAATGGACGTCAAAAAGGGAACAGTGAGGAAGGCAATGACGATAGAGAAAAGATCTCGTTGAATGAATTTAATTATTATTTTTATGTTACCTGGAAACGTGGATTTTTCGTTTGTAGGAAACCGGGTATTTCGTTCCTGTCTCTTCCGTTCTGGCGTTGTGATTATATGATTTTCACCAAATAAATCTATAAAATAATAATAGAAGAAGATGGTTTCAATTGACCAACATTTCTAATGACCAATCGTATGGAAGAGTGACTCTTTACCAGCGAAATAAAGCTAAATGGGGCATGAAGTTCACATCGAACGATTATGTTCTGAATTTTCTAAATAAGAAGGGCATGCATATTGAGAAAATCAACATTCGAAATCCTTCTATTTGGACTCGAACTGAGACATCTAACCTTAAAGATTTGACAATCATTTAGTACAGCATAAGGCATATACTGTCAATGAGAATTGGAAGTCCATTCTGCGCCAGATTGTACTTTTAACGAAATCACCACGCAAAATTCCGAGAGAATGGCGAATTTGTTGTTGTCTGGAAATACAATTCATTCACGATTTAAACAGATGAAAATACCGTGGTTGAGAGTTCAAACCACATGATCGGCTGAACGAATGCCCTTAGCGCTAAAAAGTGTCTGGCTAATTTGGAGCTGCTCATGCCTTCCAGTAATGTACTATCTAAACATTCGTCGGTAACTATCAACAAAAACAAAGTGTAATATCATATATATATATATATATATATATATATATTTGTGTGTGTGTGTGTTTGTTTGTATTATTTCAAACAATATTATGGAAGAAACTTCGTATTTGAAAGAAACGTCTTTTTTATGTATTAAAAAGCGTATTACGTCTATCGGGCAACGTAGTATTCACTATGATAACGTTCGAAGTATTAAACAAATATATATATATATATATATGTGTGTGTGTGTGTGTGTGTATGCCAGCCAATGTCAGTTTCAATTAGAGGTATACAATTCTCAATAGCACATCTACTTCTATATAATAGATGCCAAGGTCAGTTTGTTAAACTGTTTCAATTAAAGGAACAAAACTCTCAATAACCCTTTCCGTCTTCTATATAATAAATACCAATGTCAGTGTGTCACATTTTTTCAATTAAAGGGCCACAACTCTCAATAGCCCATCACCTTCTATATAAAAAATGCTAATGTCAGTTTGTCACTGTCACATTTTTTCCACTTTACTTATAATGGTCGTAGTCCAACATATCATACCATTTTGGAATCAGAACAACTCAGTGAGCGAATTAAAAACATCCCGGACTGGATCTGAAACTGCAATCCTGAAATTTTAGATTCCCAAGTTTTTATTATTGCGATTGTTATAGGCGATTCTTACGTGATTTAGGGTTTTTTTTTTTTTGCGAAAGGATTTTTTGTATGATAACAATTACTGCAACTTGAAAGGAAATAAATGTGGAAATAATCGAAATTGATTGCGAAATTCAGCTAAAATTTCAAACTAAAATATATATATATATATATATATATATATATATAGTCATGCACAGACACATTGTTTAACTATACCAGAGGTCATCAGTGTGGATAGACATCCGATTGCCTTAAGCCAGGATCGAACCCGTCTCATTTGGCAAGATTTTCCCCTAAGCTATCAGCGGCAGGGTGAATTTTTAATTATTTATTTTTGAATAAACACGCCAGTGACTCAGAGTGCGCGATACATAGAAGACCTTTACATTATCTTGTATATATATATATATATATATATATATATATATATATATATATATATATATATATATATATATATATATATATATATATATATATATATGTATGTATGTAAGCCAATATATGGATATAGATCCGACAGTATAAAGAAAAATATACGGAAAAAACAAACAAAAATCCTAATATGCAATTATGCTGTTTTAATGTTAATATAATGTCAACGTCGAACGTTTCGGTCTAATAGACCATCTTCAGTACGTATTCATAAAACATAATTAACATCAGACTATATTCAATTCAACATGAAAAAGACGATGGACATAAGAGCAAGACCAATCAAAACAGATAACTGAAATCTTTTATAAGATCAGCGTTCCGTTTAATTATGATCACGTCGTCGTCACGTGGGCGATGTTGGGAAAACGTACATATAAGTTTTTGATCAAAATAAAATTCTTTTCGTTTTTCATTCAAAATACTCAAATTTTAGGAATACGTTTTCACAACATATATATATATATATATATATATATATATATATATATATATATATATATATATATATATATATATTATGCATGGTTTCAGGAAAGTGCTCAATATCCGTGATAGAGCTAACTTCTTCAGTTGCATGCATAGTAGTTTGTAACCACGGGTTTCAAGCTTTTGCGATCATCATCATCATCATCATCATCATCATATATATATATATATATATATATATATATATATATATATATATATATGTATGTATGTATATTGATGAGATATGAATGAGATTTTAACACCAGAAGATTAACTAGTTAGAACTAAATGACATAATATCGTGTGGGGAATTTATTTTTCTTTTTTTAGCTTCAGGAAATATTTCTCCGATATGACATCATACCCTGATAAATTATGCGAAGCTATACTTAACAGAGTGCATTTACATTTTTTCTAAAGTCCTCAGTTTCTTCCCATTTTAAAAAATGATTCTGTACACTAATTTTTCCTTAATGTTTTCACGATACAACGTCCAACACAGTATTTTACTGTGCGGAGTTATATGAGCGTAAGAAATGCCAGGTAATGCAGTTCATTAGGGTATGTAGGGAAGATAATGGGTAACCCTATACATGAAGAGGTCAAAATTGTATGGATTGGGAAACATCCTTGAGGGTGTTTCTTTTACAAAGCAGCAGCTCTTGATAAAAATCTGTCCTGGTGTTATTAATAGAATACGGGGGTTATGCCGATGATTCATGCTCGTGTACATGGCTTGGCAGGCCTCAGCTTCAAAGGTTTATGGTTAGTGGAATCAAGGAATTCATCTCATCACAGCACATGCCTTGTAAATAGCGATAGAAGACCGAGCGAAGAAATAGTAAATATGATTGACGTGACACTTCGTAAATATCAGGCATTTAGATTCTGTGAACAAGACATAAATATATGAAGTTTAGAATGAAATTTTGTCATGATTGATAATGCTGATGACGTTTTTGGTAAATGGAATCGAGTGTGTGAGTGGCTGAGTGAGTGAGCGAGAGAAAACTCACAGAGAATGAAAAGAATGAACATGAAAGGAAAGATCGATGAAAAATGAAATAAGTGAAAAGGTAATTATTTTCTAAAGAAAGAAAGAAAGAAGGAAAATGAAATGAAATTCATTGTATGAGAAAATGATAAAAAGAAGAAAAGTAGGAGGAGTGGAACGAAAGAAAGAAAGAAAGAAAGTAAACTTATGTGTAAGCGAAATAAAATGATAAACAGAAAAAAAAGACTGGAAAAAGAAAGAAATGAAAAGAAAAAAAAGAAATTCTTTGTATGAAAGAAAGTAATAAATATAGAGAAGTTTGGAAAGAGAGAAAGAATTCAAAGATAGAAAAGATAAATAAATTCATTGTCCGAGAAAGAAAATAAAAACAGACGAAAAATAAAGAAAGAGAAATGAAAAGAATGAAAAAGAAAATTATAAATACCAGAAAAGAAAGAAAACTGCAAAAAAGCAAGCAAGGAAGAAAGAAAGAAATTCTTTGTAAGAAATAAAATGTAAATATAGGAGAGAAGTCTGGAAATAAATAAAGAAAGAAAGACCAAAGCAAACGAAAATGGAACAAAAGAATGAAATTCATTGTATAAGATAGAAAAAGAAAAACTAGAAGAAAAAAATAAAGAATTAAAGATAGAAAGAATGAATAACAAATTTATTTTCATGAAAAAGAAAACGATACATAATAAAGGAAAATAAAAATAAAATGAATTCATGAAAAAAATGAGAGAAAACATAGAAAGATAAAGAACTCTGAAAGAAACATATAAAAAACATTTTCTGTACGACAAATAGAAGAATAAAAGGAAGGATGGAAAGAAAGAAAGACGATAAATGAAAAAAAGAAAAGAGAAAGGAAAAATCAAAGTAAAAAGAAAGAAACAAAAGGTATTAAATTGATTGTGAGAGAAAGAAAAAAAAACAAACATAAATGTATCAAATCCATTGGGAAAGAAACAAACAGACAAAAATATTAAATTCATTGTGAAATAAAGAAAGAAATAAACAAAAATTATTAAATTCATTGTGAAAGAAAGAAACAAAAAATATTAAATTCTTTGTGAAAGAAAGAAAGAAACAAAAAAGTATTAAATTCATTGTGAAAGAAAGAAACAAAAAAGTATTAAATTCATTGTAAAAGACAGAAACAAAAAATATTAAATTCATTGTGAAAGAAAGAAACAAAAAATATTAAATTTATTGTGAAAGAAATAAACAAAAATGTATTAAATTCATTGTGAAAGAAAGAAACAACAAAGTATTAAATTCATTGTGAGAGAAAGAAACAAAAAAACATTAAAATCATTGTGAAAGAATGAAACAAAAAATATTAAATTCATTGTGAAAGAAAGAAACAAAAATGTATTAAATTCATTGTGAAATAAAGAAACAAAAAATATTAAATTCATTGTGAAAGAAAGAAACAAAAAATATCAAATTCATTGTGAAAGAAAGAAACAAAAAAGTATTAAATTCATTGTGAAAGAAAGAAAAAAATAATAAATTCATTGTAAAAGAAAGAAACACAAATTATTAAATTCATTTTGAAAGAAAGAAACAAAAAATATTAAATTCATTGTGAAAGAAAGAAACAAAAAATTATGGAATTCATTGTGAGAGAAAGAAGGATACAAAAATATTAAATTCATTGTGAAATAAAGAAAAAAGAAACAACAAAGTATTAAATTCATTGTGAAAGAAAGAAACAAACAAAGAAAAATTTAATAACTTCATTGTGAAAGAAATGAACAAAAATGTATTAAATTCACTGTGAATGAAAGAAACAAACAACAAAGTATGAAATTCATTGTGAAAGAAAGGAAGAAACAAAAAAGTATTGAATTTATTGTGAGAGAAAGAAAGAAACAAAAAGTATTAAATTCATTGTGAAAGAAAAAAAAAGAACAAAGTATTAAATTCAATGTGAAAGAAAGAAAGAAAAAAGAAGGAAAAACAAAGAGAGTAAGTGATAAATAGAAGAAAATAAAACGGCTGGAAAAAGAAAAGAAGCAAATACATAAACAACAGAAATAAATTCATTGTAAAAAGAAATAAAGAAAGAAAGATAGAAAAAATGAAAGACCAACATACAAATAGAAAAAAATGAAAGAAAACAGTAAAAAGAAAGAAAGAAAAATTTGCTATAAAGAAAATGATATAAAAATAAAGTACATCGGGCAGTCTGTTGAGAAAAAAAGCAACAAAGAAAGAAACCAAAGGAAAAAAAAAATTAAAGGAAATTAATTGCACAATAAAAGAACATAATATATATATATATATATATATATATATATATATATATATATATATATATATATATATATATATATATATATATATATATGATAAAAAAGAAAGAATAGTAAGATATATAATCCGGTGTTCTTATTGATATTTTTATTTTTACAAAACAGTGCTCAATGTGAATTAACAAAGCATAAATATTACAAATTAACTGATTTAAAATATGGTTTCTTTGCTACACAGGGATTACCATGTTTCCAAAACCGAAGCGAAAAACTTCAAATTTAATTTTATAATTAAATTAAAAGGATTAGTTCTGTTTCATCTTCAAGTGAATTTTGAAATAAATTATATATAAAATCGCTGAGATTTAAACGCGCATACAGTTCATATTTTTTTGTTTCCATCCAATACATATATACATACATACATACAATTCATAATTGTTTGTTTTGTTTACACCCACACTGTCTAAATGATTGGATTTCTCTGTATCCTCAAAAATATATATATATATATATATATATATATATATATATATATATATATATATATATATATATAAATTATAATATTATTATATATATATAAAATTATATATATAAAATCTATAATATTATTATTATATATATGAAAATTATAATATATATATATATATATAAATTATATATATATATATGTGTGTGTGTATGTATATATATATTTTTTTTATATATATTTTACATATTTATATTTTATATTTTATATATCTTATATATATTTTATATTTATATATTTTATATATATATTATATATATATATATATATATATATATATATATATATATATATATATATATATATTTACTGTTTTTTTTGAATTTGTAGGTCTGATGAATTGGATCGTATTTACGATTCCAGTGGAATAAATTATGACCATGGAATATTAGTGTTTAATCCTTTTATATTATATATATATATATATATATATATATATATATATATATATATATAGAGAGAGAGAGAGAGAGAGAAAGAAAGAAAAGAAAGAAAAAGAAAGAAAAGAAAGAAAGAAAGAAAGAAAGACAGACAGACAGACATTCTTTGTTTGAGAAAAAAATAATAAATAGAAGGAAAGAAGGAAGTTTGGAAAGAAAGAAGACGAAAGATATTTACAAACAAGCAAAGAAAGTAGCAAAGAGTGAAAAGCCGAGTTGATGCAATCCTTATATATACTACGCCTTTAAGAAATCGGTCAACAGACGGCAGGAGCCGTTTTTTATGTCGAGCGTATCTCTCCTCCCTAAAATCTGACAGGTCACAGTGTGTCACCTCGCCCGACCGACGCCCTCTGGGGTAGAGAGAAAGGTTTTCAGACTGAAATAACTGTGGAATGGTGCTAGAGGTGGGGCACATGTAAACGCTATACCGAAGCAAATCAACGAAACGAATTCTGTTTCTTAATTTTACTCTATCTTAAGACTATTTTTTTTCCTGATTATTTATTCCTTATTTTGATTAGAGATTCTTTGTAGTAGATTACAATTTTTTTTTTTTTATTTTAGTTTTCACAATAGAAAAAAAAATGGATTTTTCTGCCTTTCCCCTGACAAACACTCGATTTTTCTTCAGTGTTCGGTTTTGATTTTATTCCTCAAACTCTGTGAGACTTTTTTGAGTTTTTATATATTCCGATCGTTCGTTCATTCTTCATTGACTTCTTTTTTTTTCTATTTTTATTCCCGTTTTTTTTTCCTTCTTTTTTCTTATCACTATCTTTCCCGTATGTTTTCTTTCTTTTCTTACTTATTTTTTTTGTCATGCTTCACTTCGTTCATGATATCACTTCCAGTTTTCTTAGAGGAAAGAAAATTGACTCATTCTCTCTCTGTGTCTGTCTGTCTCTCTCCCTTTGTATATTTGAACAATTTTGGTCTCTCTTTGACTCTTTTTCTTTCTTTTTTCTTTTTTCTTTCGGTCGAATATTTGCTTTCTGTCTCACTGTTTTTATAAACTTCGAATTCTGCTTCATATTTGGGATTTCTCAATCTATTCATTTCTTCACCCCTTCCGCTTTCACTCTCATTCAGTCACTATATTGTAATCGCACTACTTCTCGCTATGAGAATTTAATCTTAATTTTGATCTTTCTTTCTTTCTTTTTTCTTTCTTTTTTTCTTTCATATATAATTATTTCTTTATTTTTTTAATTTTTTCGTTCTTTTTTTTCTTTTTCATTCTTTCTTTTTTCTTTTTCTTTCTTTATTTTCTTTGTTTTTCTTTCTTGCTTGCTTTTTCTTTCTTTCTTTATTCTTTTCTTTTTCTTTCTTTCTTTATTCTTTTCTTTTTCTTTCTTTTTCCTTCTTTCTTTATTTTTATTTGATTGTTTTCTTTCTTTCTTCTTTCTTTATTTTTCTTCCTTTTTCTATCGTTTTTCTTTCTTTTTTCTCTCTTACTAATTTCCTTCCTTATTTATTTCTAATTTTTCTTCCTCTCTATTCGGTGATTCTAAGTTTTTCTTTCTTTGCTCGTTTATTTCTTTTTTTCTTTTTTTCTTTCCCCCTTCCTTCATTTTTCTTTCTACATTACTTTTCTTTCTTCCTTTTCTTTTTCTTTCTTCCTTTCATTTCTTTTTTCTTTCTTTTTCAGTGTTTATTTTTTATTGTTCTTTGTTTCTTTTCTTCCCTTTTTCTTTCTTTATTTTTCTTCTGTTTTCCTTCTTGTCATTTTTCTTTCTCCTGTCTTTCGCTTTTCTGTCTTTCTTATTTCTATCTTTCGTTTTTCATCTGCTAATCATTTTTTTTATTTTTCTTCCTTTTTATTTATTGATTCTAAATGTTATTTATTTATTTATTTAGTTTTCTTTTTTTTCTTTTCTTCTTTTTTCTTTCTTTCCTTCTTTTTTTTTTCTTCCACTCGATCGCTACTTCCCAGCCTTACTTCCTTTGATGATCTAATCTCAGAAATTCTCTAATTTTTAACTCTCTCTGTTTTTGCTTCTCCCATTCACACAAACTCGCACACATACACAATTACACATTCATTTTCTTCCTCACTCTCTCTCTCCCTGCCTTTCTATCTCTCAAACAAAGTCTCTATGTGATGGAATTTATTTTAGATCAATCTCTCTCACAATCTTACTCTAGCTGTCTTATTTTTTTTCCCCACTCTCTATTTGTCTTTCTATCTGTTTTTCTTTTTTGTGTCCCTGTCTATTTCTACTGGAAAATTACTTCTCCGGCATTTCCATTTTACGTTTTTATTTTATCACTTTTCTTAATTAATCTAAGACTACTCTCTCTCTCTCTCTTTCTCTCTCTCTCTCTTTTCTTCTCTCTCGCTTTCGCCTTGCACTTATTTCATCCTCTATGTAGCATCCTTTTTTCTCCACCCCCGACTTTTTTAAAACTACAAGCTACAACTTACCAACTTCAGTATTCAATTTTTTTTTTCTTTTATCTTTTCCTTCCTATCACACCTGTCAACTTTGCTATGTTTTCTGATTGTCAATGTCTTTGATTCGGCAAAGGCGTCAGCTCACAACATTTGAGAGCCTGGGTCGATGCGACTGGATGTCATTTTGTTAACATATTCAGCAATATGAAAAAAAAAGCTGTTCCTGGTGTAGAAGAAAATATTTTCTATGTGTCATGTCACTACAAGACATTTGCGATCATGGCTCTCCGCAGTTTCCTGTCATGTGTAGCGCTTAATATTTTTTTTTTTGTCATCTCTCCTAAATCCTATTCAGCCAACCATT